AATTATATTAAGAATTTTATTTGTATGTTTTTTTTTTTTTTTTTTTTTTTTTTGTCCCCCCATCCCCCTCTCTTTTTTACCTCCATGCCTACACGCATGCAGACGCTGCCAACTCAACATGTTGGTGGGCACAGGAAACCCACGGGAGACGTGACCTGACACGGCCGAACGCAGGAAGTCTCTCCAGGTGGGCAGGATGTCAGTGAAACCCACTTCCTGAGACATCCACCTTAAATCATCAACGTTCAGCGTTTTCTCCTTGAACACTCCCTTCCGTCCTACAGCCAGTTCAGAGGGACGTTGTAACCACGGTGACCTGGTTTCTTCCTGTTTTTGGGTGGAAAAGTGACCTGGGATTGACTGCGATGTTGGAAATCAGAATTCCCAGCTCATATTTGTGAATAACTTCCCTTTTTTTTTTCCACTTCCCTTTCCAAATCCTCTCCCCACTTCTTTGTCATCTCATTCATTTCTCAAACCTTTTTCCTTCCAGACCGCACAGTTGATGTCTGTTCACACCTCCTCCTTCCTCGCCTCTTCCTTTTGTTGGCAGCTACTAACTGAAACCACACAGGAAAAACCACAGGAACCCACACACACACACACACACAGACACACACACGCATCCACCCTACACACTCAGATAAGCAGAGGAAGAGCCTTTTAACCGACTGACTGACTGTTAAGTGTCATTCACTCTCTATCTGTCTGTGGCTGACCGTGGCGGCTGTTAATATAGCATCAAAACGCGCTGCGTTGCAGCCTCGACGCACAATAAGAAAGAGATGAGAGAGACAACAGCTACAAGCAGCTGAATTAAAGATTAAAGGCATCATTCTTTAAAAAAAAAAAAAGCTTCCTTACATGATTTTTCTCTTACTTTAATCTGAGAACAACATGATCAAACGCAAACAGTCTCCCACAGTTTGGAAACTCAAACGTAAATGCGCTATATTAGCAAAAGTATTCTCCCATCTTCACAAATAAAGTTGAGTAATATCCAATTCTCAACCCATGGGATGTCAGCCCACCCTATCACACCGTTTACTCTTTTTTTTTTTTAGGAAAATCTTTACCAAAGGCATATTTATGAGCATTCTTCCAGAGGTTCAAATCCGAGGTCGGACGCTGATGTTGGATGATAATTCCTGGCTGTTATTCATACCATATAGATATTCTAGCGGGTTGAAGTCAGACTGGTCAAGTTATTCAACACCTTTATGGACGTTTCTTTGTGCTGGGCGTGTTGGAGCAGGAAGATGCATCCAAAAAAAATTGTTTTCACAAACATCAGGAATCTCCTGAGAGCTTTCATAAATATTAGATTTTAACACCCGAATTCAATATTTTGGATGGGTGAACAAATATGTTCATATTTTTTCTCATGATTTCTAATTAAAAAATGCACTGTAGGACAAGCGACCCATAGTGATGACAGTATATTTAATCTAGAACATTTTATCACATTAACACGGCAAACTTAAACAGCTGCTGACCAGCTTTACAACAACTCTGGTAATTTTAGCAGCATAAATG